GGGGGGGGGGGATATGAATTGTGACTTAAAAATAAAGCTGAATTGATCTTTTTTTTTTTTGTAAAAACAGAAAGCAAGCAAGCACATCAAAGATGATAAACATATCGTGCCGAATGGGATAGAGCACAATGGTAGAAGTCAACGGATTATGTGTAGAATAACTTGAGTGACAATTGGTACAAATAAAAGATTATGAACCTATACCTCTAATAATCTAATTGTTCAAAGTTATTTCGGGTACAATGCATTAGGTCACAAGACAAATTTCTTAAGTCTTTTTACTTTAAACAAAATCTCCCAATGGCCCAATGGAAATCTCATTATGTGTGAAAGTGTTAACAGAAATCGTACTATATGGTGGGGGCTGGGGAAACAAGTTCGTATCAACAATTTTATCGTTATTGCAGTAAGAAGAAATGCCGGGAACAAAACACCCTATTAATCAGAGAGTTTTAAGGATTTTTTAACAATTTATGAAACATTTACAAAATATTATGACGTCAAATTCAAATACGAGATTTGTTTGGTTTATCCTAAAAAAAATTGGAGAACAACTCTTAGTAGTTCAAATTAATCTATAAATTTATGCATCAAGTAGTATACATCATGTTCAAATAAGAGCATCAACAATAATGTTTGCTGTAATCAAAAGTACAATTAATCATGTTCTCCAATAATTTAACAAGTGTGTTGCATAAGGGAAAATACTTACTTTGATAAGCCTGCAAACAAGCCATCTTCCTCACCCTCATTGTAATATACTAGAGAACTTTTTCCATGCACAACTCCATAAGGAGACCGTACAATTTTCCCTGCAAACAAATAGCCGCTTCATTTAGAGGGTGGCGATAGGAACATATTTTTTAGCATGCAAGATGTAAAAAATACAACGGAAAGTCTTCGGACAAACTATATTCAAAGCATTTATTAGCCCCATTTTCAGCAAAAATTTTAGTGATTAAAACGGGAGATATGTAAATTTTCAACAATCTACATCCTAGTCTATCAAACTCTAAAGAAAACAAACGAACCCGTATTACAAATATTTCCAGTTCATTTAAACCGAAACCATCATTCTATGAAGACAAACATCCTATATTAATCCAAACAAACTAATTTGTAACAAATCACAAGCTTTTTTTCGTGTTCTCTTATCTCTTCTTCTCGGATTTCAGCATCACGAATGTCTTCCTATAGATAGCTTGTAAAAAGTGTAAGCAGATTGGTCGAGCAAGAAACACACTCAACTTCTTAAGACGCGAAGTGTTTGATTTTATGGCAATTGAAAACATTGTTCATGTAATGGAGCTACAGCTACAGCTCTTTGTCATATGTATGGAGATCAAAATAACGGATGATGAGGACGCTTAATACCTTCGGGCCCATTTCATTCAAGTTCAAATATGCAAACAATAAAATAAATTCACACGATTGACTCGTGTGTACACTAACCTCCACAAATGAACCTTTAACGTATTAAAATCACCTCTAATGAACAAAGATAAGGTATAAAATCATCCATTAGAAATAGAAAGTTACCTCCAAAAGCTTCCCCAATGCATTGCAATCCCATGCACACACCAAATAATGGTACTTTCGGTCCAAGTTCCAGCACTGTCTGCAGTGATATTCCTGAATCTTGAGGTGTACCTGAAAAAAAATAAAGAAAACGAGCTTAAATCATATGAAAACACAACCATCAAAGAAAGAGAAAGCAATAGAATAAGTTCTTACCAGGTCCGGGTGATATTAATACACCTCTTGGATTTTTCCTACAAAAACCGATACACATGTTCTTAACTGTCTTGGCATACACAATAATTTTGTACTTATATTGCAAATTTGTAGACAATGTTTCAAAAACTTCACTAACAAATAATTAGGACTTCATGACATGGTTTTCATGTAAAAACAGAGAGCATATCAATGCGGTGCAAAATTACATCAGTACGATAATGGATAATGTATTACACATAAATTCGACATTTCACTTCTTTTAGTAAATGGAAGTTCCACTTGTTCCCAATAAGCATTCTTTTGGTGATCAGTTATCAATATTAACCAATGCCACCCCTCAACAGATGTAGGCCTGCTTTTCAATATCAATTCGTCATCATGGATGAGAATTCTTGTCTGTTTCAATCGAACAAATATTTTATTAATGCTAATTGATAATATATTACGGATATCGCTTGTTACACCAGCAGTAGTACATAATAAATATGCCATGGAGCAATCATCTGAAAAGTATCGATCAAGTTTACCCAGACAGTGACATTATACATAAAACATTAGTTCAATTTCCAATCTCTACAGTTCAAGATGAGGGTGTTAGCATCTCCTTACATTCTCCATTTTTGAGGTCCTAAATACTCCAATGCATTTTAATAATCTATCGATGTAAATAACACATGAAATTACGATGAGATATCAAATATCTTAAGCAAGGTAAAAAAACAGCAAGCACAATTCACAGCGCACCACCAAAATCGTACCTCCCTATTTAAAAATCAGGTAAGCTATGATTTGGTTTTCAGATTTTTTTTTCTCGAATAATCAACTGAATTACTAAACACTGCGAAAAACAAATCGATTGCATATAATGGGGAAAACGGAGAATGTAGTTCGAAAAACAAATAATCCATACCCTTTTAGCTCATCAACGGTAAGCTCATCGTTTCGGTATACCTCAAATTCACAGCCCAGCTCTCCCATGTACTGCAAAAATCCAAAATGTTCAGATAATCATAAAATGAGGATTCGTTAACCAATATAATTTAAAAGGTGGAGAGAATTTTGAAACTGACTTGGCATAGATTATACGTGAAGCTGTCGTAATTATCGATAACTACAATTGGATTTTTGTTCCTGCCGGAAGGCGACGAATTGATGGAGGACGGCGAGATCTTTTCGGAGATTGCCAGGGGCGTTTTGGGGTGAGCGGAATAAGAAATTTTGCGGTGGCGCGTGGTGGTGAAGCTGAGTCCTTGGTGCCTGGAAGGTGGGGGCATCTGCTGCGGCGGCGATAGAATGAGAGATGGTGGTTGCTTGATGGAGACCGAAGGGGCGGCGAGGCTGGCCATGGCGACGGCGATTGCTGCTGCGGCGGCGGCGGCGGGCGGAGGGTTCGGGGGTTCTGGATTGAGGGAGTGAATTTCGCGGGGTTTATGCGAATGCAAATGCACCAGGAGATTCGGTCGACAACGATGTGAAGCTGTTATTTAAATCTCAATTTTGACTCATTTATTAATTGGGCTTTTATTGGATATACTATCACAACTTAGGTAATTAGGGTTAAATGCCAAGCAATTATTTGACTAATTAATCTCCATCAAATTTTTATTTGACATAAAAGAAATAATTATTTTATATTTTTTTTTTTAAGAGTGGTGCTATTTCCAGCCTAAATTATCTCAATTCACCACCAAATACTATGAAATGCCATAAATACCCCTCAAATTTATAATTCACCACCCTTCCTTATATTAACTTAATCCTCAAGTGTTCTAACTTATTTCTATTTCTATTTTTATTTTATTAATTTTTTTATTATTTTTTATTTTTATTTTTTACAGTGAAATATTTATTACAAGATATTTAAACTTTCATATCAGATGACCAACAGATTATGTAATCTTTTTTTAGGAAACGAAATTACATTAAGCCAAACTGACCAATTCTGGAGGAAGTTCATGACCTTCCATACAAGCAATCTTAATTTATTCTCTGACGTAAGTGTTATTCACTTAAAGTGGAAAGGGTGAGATTTTCAGTGAAAAGGGTGGGATTTTTTTTTTAATATTTTAATTAGTTTAGTGGTGGTATATGGTATAATTTGAAAAAAAATGTAGGTGAAAGAAGAAAAAAAGGGTAAAATTGGAAATCTATCTTAATTTGATGGTAATTTGATGGTGAAATAAGATTTTTTGAGGATGGAAATAGCACATCTCTTTTTTAATTCTTTTCAAACCCTAATTAGTTTTTTTTTCTCTTCTATTTATTTTCATTTTTATTTATTTTTCTCAACGCTGATGGCGGGCTCCGACTAGTGAACAATATTAAGTTGACTTGTTTTAGTTAGCTAGTTTTTCCAGTGGTGTGGTGCTGTGGCAGATTGAGGAGCTCCGATTAGCTGACTCCATTTAGTTGATTTGAATAGTTTGTTGATTATTTTTCGGTCGGTGGTAGCAAATTATCGAAGCTTCGGTTAGTTGAGTTGATAAATGACTTAATATTGCTGGTTGAATTTTTCCGATTGTGGCGAGTCGTCGGAATTTTGGTTAGTTGATTTGATTTAGCTAATTATGTTTAGTTTAATAATTGTTTTCCATGGTGGTGACACATCGCCGAAACTTCAACCAGTTGCGTTCGGTAGGGCATAGGCGAGAATAAAAAAAAACTGAGATTTTTGTTTATTGTTAATATTAATGAATAAAAATCTATAAACATTTAATAATTCAATTAATTATACAACAAACAAAATAATATAATTAGGTTTATTTAAAATAAAATTGAAATAAAATAATTCAATTGAGTTTACAAAATCTTTTGAGTTTCTTTAGTAAAATAGTACTTAAAGAAAAAATAAAATATAAATTTATATTGAATTTACAATTTTCTCCTAAACAAGAATTAAGTTCAAAATATTTTTGGGTTATTATTAGGGATAATGGCACTTAGCCCCAAAACCATAGTGTATTTTGCACGTCATCACCTGAACAAATTTATTTCACAAACTTTGACCTGAACTTGTTAAATTGTTGCACGATGCCTCAAATTTGCTATTTCCATTCATTTCTTACCAGAATCATCTGCAAATTGTCACGGACTTGTTCCCTTAACCACGAACTGTGCGGCAACCTCTCCCGAAAGTGTTGCGAATGCTAAGTGATGGAAAACAAAGGAAGAACTTAAGAAGATAAGAGAGTTTGTACGAAAGTAACTTAAGTGCTTGGATGTTGGATTCTTGTTGGATGGTTACAAATGAGGACGCTACCCCTATTTATATTACGCCACCTCATTAATGGACGGTGGAGATCTATTTTATCTAACGGCTAGGAGTTGTTCACTAGAACACTCCAAAATATTCCTACAAATATCTACAAGGGAGGATTCTAGAAAGCTTTCTAAAATTCTCCAAAAACTCTACCTGTCTCTATACATTTGAGCCAACTTGGGCCTAACCCTATTTGGGTTAAGTTTTGGGCTTCTTAACCTCCCCACCCAAAGAAAATTGGTAAAGGGTTGGGCCAAAACTGGCGGGCTGTGACAACATGCTTCGCATGTGAGTTTTTTTTAGGGTAGTATGGTCCATTCACTCAACCTACCCCTACACTTTTATTTTTTCCTTTTTTTTTTTTGTCCCTTTTTTTTGGTCGGCAAACGCATCACGGTCACCTCCTTCCAAACAGAAACCTTGTCCATAAACAACGTTAAAATCTCTGAATTCCCCACTTTTGCGGCTACGAAGTTCTCATAGTCTACGCAATCGACGACTTCTTCAAACTAAAATCCACTCTCGCACTCACTAATTCAAGTATATATTCCACACTCAATTTTCCACAATAAAAAAACTATCTCTTTCTTATTTATTTATTTATTTAAGAAATTATCTTCCTCTATTACAAATACTTTTCTGTGGGGGTGGGTCGAGACCTTTGAAATTGGTGCGGAACCAAACATGGCTTACAGTGAAGCGCTTGAAGTGGGAGAGTTGAGACGAAGGGGAGAGAGGGGAGAAGTGGAGGAGGATGGGTATTTTAGAGGCCAACTATGAAAGGAAAAAAGAAGTAAAAAAAATGAAAATTAGAAGTTCGGGGGCGTGTTACATTAAAGTGAATGGACAATTATATCCTCAAAAAAACTCACATGCTACGTACGTGCAGACAATTCCGGCAAGTAATGAATGGGAATGGCAAATTTAAGGCACGGTGCAACAATTTGACGTAAAAGTCTGTAAAAAAAAATAAAAAATTGTTTAGGGGTAACGTGCAAAGTGCACGATAGTTTAGGGGGCAAAGTGCCATTAACCCTTATTATTATTATCATTTTATTTTTTATTTTTATAATAAAAATAAAAATACCCGTAAGTCGCAAAATGCGCAAAAGCTTCGCCAGAATATTCTTTGAATCGCATTTGTGCCAAAAACAAAAAGAAATAAGAAAAACAAATTCCTCTGTTTTAGCTTTTTTTTTTTTTTTTTTTTTCTTTTTGAGCAAGTAAAAAATAAGGGCACCACCAAAAATTCCCAGTGCACACACTTCACACAGTAGAAACACACACACACACACAAAACAGAAGATATATAAGCCACCATTTAAGACGAGCTTGCTTACATATACGGCGTGCTCCTCAAGCCATTTTCTCTCAGATCTCTCTCTCCCAATCTCTCTCACACACCACACACACACACTTTCTCTCTCCTCCTCCTCACGTAACCCTCAGATCTGAAAATCACCGCCTCCTACTACTACTACTACCACCAGTACCACTGTTACACCTCCACCGCAAAACACACACACACACTACCACCGGAATTCCGACGATTTTTACGCATCAACGGTGCTCGTAGATCTGTTCGACATCTCGAAATGAGTTAAAATTCACTTCCGACGTGTGTGCGCAGAGATATTATTCAAAATTTTATCTATACATACAAATATATATAGGAGGGTTTTGTTGTTATTGTTAAACAGCGCAGGGATACACATACATATTCGATATGGCAATGCAACCAGGGGCGGTGGTCGTACCTGATAAAACCCCGGCGCAGTGGTACAACCCCCAGCAGCAGCAGCAGTCTCCGCCGCCGCATCAGCAGATGGATGAGAAGAAGGCGTTGTTGATGTGGCTGAGAGGTGAATTCGCAGCTGCTAATGCGATAATCGATGCGCTTTGCCACCACTTGAGGGCGGTGGGGGGTCCCGGGGAGTATGATGGTGTGATAGGGTCTATACAGCAGAGGAGGTGTAATTGGAACCCTGTTTTGCATATGCAGCAGTATTTTCCGGTGACTGAGGTGGTTTACTCACTGCAGCAGGTGGGCTGGCGGCGGGAGCAAAAGCCGGCGGGGTTTGAGGGGAGGATTGGGGGAGGTGGTGGGAAGGACTTTCGGAGAGGCGGTAGGGGCCAGAGAGTAGGTGTTGAGGTGCAGAAGTTAGGTGGAGAGGTGACGAATGGTAAGTATTCGAACAATGCGTATGCCAAAAGCAATGTAAATGGGAATGGGAAATTGGATGGAGGGGACAAAGCAAATGTGGAGGAGAAGGGTGAGAAGAAAGGTAAGAAGAAAATGTATTTATATGATTTGTTTTACGAATCGACAAATTTTATTGTAAGCATATGCTTTTAGTTTGCGTATAAATGTTGGGAAATGAATGAACATAGATGATGTTGTGTATGCGGAACGAATTTATTTGTGATTTTCTGGTAATTGTGGTGTAATTACGAGGTTATCTTTGTCCAAGGTTCACCGAATTTGGCACTAGGAAGTCCCATGGATCTGTCGATTTAGTTATTGCCACTTCGTTAATGGTTTAAAATTAGAAGTGCATTATGGTCTTTTGTTGATGATTGGATAATCAGCAATCATCCAATCTTTTGTTGATAAATTGAGTTGTAGTTCTGGTTCCAAGAGTTCAAAAACATTGCCTGGAAAAAAATAATGTCTCCATCTGAGTTGGGAATTTAGACTGGAAAGTAATTGCTGTCAAAGAAATATAGTCTACTACTGCTACTTTCTTGATTCACGTCGTTCTCGATTGTCCGATGCCTCTAAAAACCTGTATACTATCAGACTTCATGTGATAAAACTTCATTTTAATTTGTTGAAAGTAACTTTGGGATTGCATTGTGAACATTGGTTACAAGTTCATGTGTTGGCAAGAATCTATTGTGGATAAAAACGCATGGTTTATTTGCTACTTCATTCGTTCAAGTGCTTAAGGTCTTGAGTAAGATTTGAAATCTTTTTAATTGTTTTCAGAGGCCACGTGGATATTCTTATATTGACACCTGTACTACGTTTGTATGGTATAGCCTTTGAGTTCGAAACAAAACATGAGATTTATTAGAATCCCTTTCTATTCTCAAATTCTTTGAGGGGAATTAATGATTGTGTAAAAACATAAATGCCTGATACCACTAATTCTTTACACTAATCTTAAGAAATACTTGATACTTGAGATATTTAACTGCAATTTCAGACATAAATAACTCTTGTGGGACTAACATTTCTTGGTAAAGAAAATAATTTCTGACTGTTATTTTTCTTGTCTATTGGTGAACAAACGGAACTGAAAAAAGATATTCTGATGGCAGATAGTTCAGAAATGAAGCAGGGAAGCACACAAGGAGCTGTTGCTAATGCAGATGATAAAGAAGATGCTGTAGGTGATTTCTTAGCTCCAACTTCCGAGAAACACAATCTTGAAGTCTCTCCGAAATCTTTTACTGTTACCGAGACGTGTGAAGGAAAATTGGTAACTATCTTTTGCTCTTTTTGCAATGTATTTCTTTTGCTAGAACTTTAGGTTGAGTACTAGTGTTAGACATGATTTTCTTCAATAATTGGTTCTGTAGGTTAATATAGCTGAAGGAATGAAGCTTTATGAAAATGTACTTGATGATTCAGAAATTTCAAAGCTTAACACTTTGGTGAATGCTTTAAGAGCTGCTGGGAGGAGAGGACAGTTGCATGGTAAGTTTAGTAGTGTCTATTTTAATTTTCAATTTCACTTACAAGTCTCTTCATTGCTATTTAAAATGTCTCTGAGTCCTTGAGTGACACAATGAAATAGAAGAAAGGCGAGCATGTCTATCTGTGAGAATTAACCATTTGTTTGCTTGTATTTACTCGGTACCGACAATAATCATATAATTGAAATGAAATTATGGTTGCTTACTGTATTTCCTTCTGGTTTTTTCTTTTTCTTTTTCTCTGGGTGATATGTTAAAACTTCATTGTTTTTTAAGTCGGCAATGGAGAAAGTTGTCTGTCTATGCTAGGCTTAGTGATTGGCTAGTAACTTGAATCACTTGGAGTTTCTTAAATTTCCTGTTTTATGGTGGAAAGTTTGCAATGTTGGGTCTATTTCCTTTTTTTTTATAAGTTTGTGAATCCATCAGTTGAAGGTCTAATTATGCAATACTGGTTTTCTTCTGAAACAATCATTAAAAAAAAAAGAAACAAAGAAAAAGGAAAATTGGTGATACCACTAGGCTAAGCCTTAGTTGGTCTGAATCAATCAACATATAGCTGTCTTTTGTTGTTTTCACTTTTGTCTGATTATCTTTTTTGTGGGGCATTGGTAATGTCTTGTGTCTTACGTTCTGTTTTCTTGGAAGCCACAGTAAGGTAGCGAATAAGGTGATGTTGGAGATTGTGCTCTGTATTGCACCTGTTTTTAACTTCGCCATTTTCTCTTTTCGCGAACACTTGCTTGGCATATTAACTTGTTGGAGTAAAATTGAAAAACAATCAACAGGTGTGAAGGAAAATCACGTCTTCTGAGAACAATCTATTCATAAACTTTAAATCCAGTTAATTACACGTGATTCAGTTACAAGAAGCACATATGTTTCCAGCAGTAGTCAACAGTAGTTTCTGAAAGAAATTTGAAGGAACTAACAGCAAGGTCTTCAGAATAATTGAAAAACAGTGATACACTCTAAATTTCCTGGTTCTGATTGTTTGAATAGCTAACGGATAACGAAGGTACTTCTAGTTAAAAAAAAAGAATCCCAAAAAGCCAAAGTATGGCACTGAAAATATGGTCAGCTACAAAATTATATTAGGATCAAGCTGATATCTGAAGCTTATATATGTAATTCAGAGATACTTTACATGACCTAAATTAGTAGAACTTATTTAGATATGCTCTAGATAACATATATAACATGATTATAGTAACGGTGAATAGCATCCACGTCGTATTTGGCACCATCAAAGCATGTTAAAACAATTTGTTTTTCTTTGTTACACTATTACAGGACAAACTTTCATCGTTTCAAAACGACCCATGAAGGGACGTGGAAGAGAGTTTATTCAATTGGGTGTCCCTATTGCTGATGCACCTCTCGAATATGAATCTGCTGCAAGGACTAATAACGGCATGTTCTGGATTAACCTGTTTGTCTGTTCCTTCTCTCTCAATGTGTATGTTCTTACCAAACATGTTCATTTTGGCTATGGCAAAAATTTTCAGATCTAAAAACTGAGCCCATCCATGCTTTGCTTCAAGATGTCATCGACCGGTTACGCGCTGAACAAGTTGTTAGCATCAATCCAGACGCATCCATCATTGACATCTTTAGCGAGGTTTTGTCCATGATAGTGCTTATTGCATTCGATTTTTTTTAATCAGGGTTGTGGAAATCTAATTTGCTTTGCTGGCACTTTTCTTTTACAGGGTGATTACTCACAGCCTCACATCATTCCACATTGGTTCGGAAAGCCCGTGTGTGTTCTGTTCTTGACAGAGTGTGAGATGTCTTTTGGTAAGACAATGGCAGTTGATAATCCTGGAGATTATCGAGGCGCTCTTAACCTCTCCCTTTCACCTGGGTATTATTTCATCTCTCCTTTTCTCCACTGCCTCTAAATCTAACTCAACATTTTTTATTTTTGTTATTCATAGCTTTGTTCATTAATTTTTTTTGTTGTGTACAGTTCTGTGCTTCAAATGCAAGGGAGGTCAGCCGATTTCACCAGACATGCAATACCTTCGACAAGGAAGCAGCGAATACTCATTACTTTGGTAAAATCGCAACCCAAGAGAACCGCCACACCAGCACAACCGTCTTCCAACTGGGCGCCATCTCACATTAGGCCGCCAGGTTCTATCCGTCCAATGGCCCCGCAGCAACACTTTGTGCCTGTTCCAGCCAATGGCGTACTGACACCTCAGCAACTCCCCCCACCCCCAGCAAACGGTATGCAGCCACTGTTCGTTCCTGCCCCTCTAGTATTTCCAGCCCCGGTTGCTCTTCCACCTCCTTCTGCTGGATGGCCGCCAGCAAAGAACCCTCCTCCCCGTTTGCCAGTTCCTGGAACAGGGGTTTTCCTTCCGCCTGGTAAGTCATCAAATCAGCCACCATCCGTCGCTGCTACTGAGAATATCATCGCTGAGTCAGCGGCTGTGTTGGAGGAAAATGGTGTTGGGGAATCCGTTGCAACTGAAAATCAAAATCTCACAGCTGAGTCAGCGCCTGTGTTGGAGGAAAATGGTGTGGGGAAATCCGTTGCAACTGAAAATCAAAATCTCACAGTCGAGTCATTGGCTGTGTCGGAGGAAAACGGTGTAGCGAAATCAAACGGTGTTTCACAGCATGAGTGTGATGGTACAAGCACCGATGTTAAGGAAGACGAACGTGGAAATTGTGATTCGTGCAAATCGGATGAAGCAAGTTAGGTGAAAAGGAGAAAGAGAGAGATAGTAAAAGAGAAGGTTGCAGCAACTGAGTTTAGAAAAAAAAAGGTAATGTAAAGAGCGGCGAAGTATGGAGATAGTTTTTTTGACACACGCGTATTTTGCGAGATGAGTGAATCTACTTTTTTTCCTTTTGGGTGCTTTATATGATGAATGATAATCGTGTATGCGTTCAAATTAGATGACTCTTTCTCGGGATTGGTTTCGAACCTGTAGTTTATCTCTCTCTCATTACGTTTTTGAGCTATCAGTAATGAGGACTAGTATTTTTGCTGCCAACATGCTTTTCTTCGTGCGAAAAATATATATTTTGACAGTTGATTTACACACGATTACTCCGCAGTATACATGTGAATGTGTGTGTATACATAAACGTATATGGTGGGATATAAATATGGGGCGACTCTAAATGTGGTTTTATCATTTGATATTTATATTTTCATAGGGTAAATTACAAACACCCCTAAGGTATGGTCAATTTACGAAAAAACTCCTCTTGTTTGGATAATTACATCTACCCCCTCAACTGTGATTTTTTCTTACACCTCAACTCTTATGGTGTCAAATTCAACATAATCATCTAGATTTCATGGAATGTACTCTAGTTTGTACTCGTTTTGTGTAAAAATACAGTTTCCGATGCACCACAGGCTGATATATACAGGCCAAAAAACACATATTATGATCATATTGCTTCAAAATGTAGAGTTCTAATGAGATAAAGTGGGTACAAAAGTGATAATATTCTATATAATCTCGAAAATTCCACTAAATTTGAGGAGTTGAGGCGGTAGTTGTAATTATCCAAACAAGATGGATTTTTTTGTAATTTGACCATACCTCATGGGATTGTAACTTACCCTATTTTCCTACATACCAAATAAACCAAATATTATCATCTCATTATAATATTTTATTTCCTGGTTTTTCCGTTTCAATAACAGAAATTAATATACTTTCTGAATTTTTTGTATATAACATTTGAGTGTGAACATATATTTAAAAGTTGTAAAAAAAACTACCTAGGGCTTATTTGACTAAATTTTATTTTAAACAGCTGATAAACTCTTACATTAAAAAGTAGTTTAAGATCTTAAAAAAAAAAAGGATAGAGATATTTTTTTAAAAACTATTTTCTCGTTTTCTGAATTTTTGAGATTTAATAAAAATAAAAAAATGGTTGCGGCTATATGCAATACTAATTCCACTTGTGCAAGACCAAATTAAAGAAAGATTCCAAAAGATTCCATTTTATTAAGATGAAATGACAAATATACCCATAAATTAAATTGTCTTTTGTTTGCTCATGCAAGACCAAATAAAAAATAATAAAAAATTATGAAACAACTAAATTTCGACATTAAGGTGTCGAATATATGTCCATAAATTCGACACCTTAATGTCGAAATTTAGTATATTTGGACTAATTTGCTAACAGTTAAAGTTCGACACTAAGGTGTCGATTTTTGTACTCCAAAATCGACATCTCAATGTCAATTTTTACCTATAAAATTCGACATGTAAATGTCGACTGTGTCTGCATGGAATTTTTTTTTAAAAAAAATATGAAACAACTAAATTTCGACATTAAGGTGTCGAATATATGTCCATAAATTCGACACCTCAATGTCGAACTTTAGTATATTTGGACTACTTTGCTAACAATTAAATTTCGACACTAAGGTGTCGATTTTGTACTAAAAAATCGACATCAATGTCGATTTTTGCCTATAAAATTCGACATGTACATGTCGACTGCGTCTGCGCGAGTTTTTTTTTGGGAAAACGATATTCTAGCTAAAAAAAACACATAAATGCATATTTTCTTGGGTTTTTCCACCGTAGATTCTTCTATTTTGATGTCTTCTGACTCCATACTTACCATCTTTGTAAGATTTGTTGAGTTTTGATAATTTTGAATGTTTAGGTTTTGTGGGTTTATAGATGAGGAAGAAGAAAGGTTTTGATGGAGAATGTGAGAGTTGGTCTTGTGGTTTTGTGATAGGGTTTTTTTCTTTTTTTTTTTGAGTTTTTAGTATGGGGATCACTATTTCAAATCCCAACTTTTGCTTACTTGAATACCAAAAAAATAAAAAATAAATAATTAATTGTAAATTACTTTAATAACCTTAATGAAATTAAAACTAAAAAAATATTACAAATACTATTTTTCTTTCTTAAATACCAAATAATCAAAAACTCAAAAAACCATTTCCCTCATTCTCCACCTCAGTCTTCTCCCTCCCCAAAAACCCTTCTAAAAAATCTTCCTCACAACAAACCCTTCTAAAAAATCTCACAACAAACCCTTCTAAAAAATATCAAAACTAAAGAAATTAAAACCTCACAAAACGTATAAAATTGAGTTATAAGACAATAATATGGTAGTATATATGAAAGGAGTACACATTAAGGTAATATCGATGTCTTTTTGAGCTTCGAAGTCGA